GTTTGGACTGTTGTCCTCTTTATTGTCATATTTACGACGTCTCGGCCGCTGTACGCTCCGACCTCCTTCGGGATCTGTCTATATTTCTGAAAGGGGGTATTGTAACTATTTACATTGTTTGAACTGTTGTCCTCTTTATTGTCATATTTACGACGTCTCGGCCACTGTACGCTCCGACCTGCTTCGGGATCTGTCTATATTTCTGAAAGGAGGTATTGCAACTATTTACATTGTTTGGACTGTTGTCCCTCTTTATTGTCATATTTACGACGTCTCGGCCATTCCGTCAGGATCTGTCGCTCCATTGTTTGGACCTCCTTCGACGTCTCGGCTGCTGGATCTGTCTATATTTCTGAAAGGAGGTATTGCAACTATTTACATTGTTTGGACTGTTGTCCTCTTTATTGTCATATTTACGACGTCTCGGTTGCTGTACGCTCCGACCTCCTTCGGGATCTGTCTATATTTCTGAAAGGAGGTATTGCAACTATTTACATTGTTTGGACTGTTGTCCTCTTTATTGTTTGAACTGTTGTCATATTTACGACGTCTCGGCTGCTGTACGCTCCGACCTCCTTCAGGATCTGTCTATATTTTGAAAGGAGGTATTGTAACTATTTACATTGTTTGGACTGTTGTCCTCTTTATTGTCATATTTACGACGTCTCGGCCGCTGTACGTTCCGACCTCCTTCAGGATCTGTCTATATTTCTGAAAGGAGGTATTGCAACTATTTACATTGTTTGGACTGTTGTCCTCTTTATTGTCATATTTACGACGTCTCGGCTGCTGTATTTCCGACCTCCTTCAGGATCTGTCTATATTTTTGAAAGGAGGTATTGTAACTATTTACATTGTTTGAACTGTTGTCCTCTTTATTGTCATATTTACGACGTCTCGGCCACTGTACGCTCCGACCTCCTTCAGGATCTGTCTATATTTCTGAAAGGAGGTATTGCAACTATTTACATTGTTTGGACTGTTGTCCTCTTTATTGTCACATTTACGACGTCTCGGCTGCTGTACGCTCCGACCTCCTTCAGGATCTGTCTATATTTCTGAAAGGAGGTATTGTAACTATTTACATTGTTTGGACTGTTGTCCTCTTTATTGTCATATTTACGACGTCTCAGCCTGTACGCTCCGACCTCCTTCGGGATCTGTCTATATTTCTGAAAGGGGGTATTGTAACTATTTACATTGTTTGAACTGTTGTCCCTCTTTATTGTCATATTTACGACGTCTCGGCCACTGTACGTCTCCGACCTCCTTCAGGATCTGTCTATATTTCTGAAAGGAGGTATTGTAACTATTTACATTGTTTGACTGTTGTCCTCTTTATTGTCATATTTACGACGTCTCGGCCACTGTACGCTCCGACCTCCTTTCAGGATCTGTCTATATTTTTATTGTCACTATTTACATCGTTTGGACTGTTGTCCTCTTTATTGCCATATTTACGACGTCTCGACCTCGCCCGACCTCCTTCAGGATCTGTCTATATTTCTGAAAGGAGGTATTGTAACTATTTACATTGTTTGAACTGTTGTCCTCTTTATTGTCATATTTACGACGTCTCGGCCGCTGTACGCTCCGACCTCCTTCGGGATCTGTCTATATTTCTGAAAGGAGGTATTGTAACTATTTACATTGTTTGGACTGTTGTCCTCTTTATTGTCATATTTACGACGTCTCGGCCACTGTACGCTCCGACCTCCTTCGGGATCTGTCTATATTTCTGAAAGGAGGTATTGCAACTATTTACATTGTTTGGACTGTTGTCCTCTTTATTGTCACATTTACGACGTCTCGGCCGCTGTACGCTCCGACCTCCTTCAGGATCTGTCTATATTTCTGAAAGGAGGTATTGCAACTATTTACATTGTTTGGACTGTTGTCCTCTTTATTGTCATATTTACGACGTCTCGGCCGCTGTACGTTCCGACCTCCTTCGGGATCTGTCTATATTTCTGAAAGGAGGTATTGCAACTATTTACATTGTTTGGACTGTTGTCCTCTTTATTGTCATATTTACGACGTCTCGGCCGCTGTACGCTCCGACCTCCTTCAGGATCTGTCTATATTTCTGAAAGGAGGTATTGCAACTATTTACATTGTTTGGACTGTTGTCCTCTTTATTGTCATATTTACGACGTCTCGGCCGCTGTACGTTCCGACTCTCCTTCAGGATCTGTCTATATATTTCTGAAAGGAGGTATTGCAACTATTTACATTGTTTGGACTGTTGTCCTCTTTGTTCTTTGTCATATTTACGACGTCTCGGCCGCTGTACGCTCCGACCTCCTTCAGGATCTGTCTATATTTCTGAAAGGAGGTATTGTAACTATTTACATTGTTTGAACTGTTGTCCTCTTTATTGTCATATTTACGACGTCTCGGCCACTGTACGCTCCGACCTCCTTCAGGATCTGTCTGAAAGGAGGTATTGCAACTATTTACATTGTTTGGACTGTTGTCCTCTTTATTGTCACATTTACGACGTCTGTTTGGACTGACCTCCTTCAGGATCTGTCTATATTTCTGAAAGGAGGTATTGCAATATTTACATTGTTTGGACTGTTGTCCTCTTTATTGTCCGACGTCTCTGCTGTACGCTCCGACCTCCTTCGGGATCTGTCTATATTTCTGAAAGGGGGTATTGTAACTATTTACATTGTTTGAACTGTTGTCCTCTTTATTGTCATATTTACGACGTCTCGGCCACTGTACGCTCCGACCTGCTTCGGGATCTGTCTATATTTCTGAATGGAGGTATTGTAACTATTTACATTGTTTGGACTGTTGTCCTCTTTATTGTCATATTTACGACGTCTCGGCCACTGTACGCTCCGACCTCCTTCGGGATCTGTCTATATTTCTGAAAGGAGGTATTGTAACTATTTACATCGTTTGGACTGTTGTCCTCTTTATTGCCACATTTACGACGTCTCGGCCGCTGTACGCTCCGACCTCCTTCAGGATCTGTCTATATTTCTGAAAGGAGGTATTGTAACTATTTACATTGTTTGAACTGTTGTCCTCTTTATTGTCATATTTACGACGTCTCGGCCGCTGTACGCTCCGACCTCCTTCGGGATCTGTCTATATTTCTGAAAGGAGGTATTGTAACTATTTACATTGTTTGGACTGTTGTCCTCTTTATTGTCATATTTACGACGTCTCGGCCACTGTACGCTCCGACCTCCTTCGGGATCTGTCTATATTTCTGAAAGGAGGTATTGCAACTATTTACATTGTTTGGACTGTTGTCCTCTTTATTGTCATATTTACGACGTCTCGGCTGCTGTACGCTCCGACCTCCTTCGGGATCTGTCTATATTTCTGAAAGGAGGTATTGCAACTATTTACATTGTTTGGACTGTTGTCCTCTTTATTGTCATATTTACGACGTCTCGGCCGCTGTACGTTCCGACCTCCTTCGGGATCTGTCTATATTTCTGAAAGGAGGTATTGCAACTATTTACATTGTTTGGACTGTTGTCCTCTTTATTGTCATATTTACGACGTCTCGGCCGCTGTACGCTCCGACCTGCTTCGGGATCTGTCTATATTTCTGAAAGGAGGTATTGCAACTATTTACATTGTTTGGACTGTTGTCCTCTTTATTGTCATATTTACGACGTCTCGGCCGCTGTACGCTCTGACCTCCTCTTATTTCGGGATCTGTCTATATTTCTGAAAGGAGGTATTGCAACTATTTACATTGTTTGGACTGTTGTCCTCTTTATTGTCATATTTACGACCTCCTTCGGGATCTGTCTGTATTTCAGATATGAGATATTTTAACGATTTACATTATTTACATCGTTCGAACTGTTGTCCTCGTCTTTATGTATTCACGACGTTTCGGCCCAGTGGATAAAAGTGTTGGCTGAGTAATCCTAAAAAGTGACTTGACTCAAAGTGTTGTCAGTTCAATATCTGACCACAGCAGAGGGGACAAAAAAAAAACTTGGTGAGTTGAATTACCAATTGGGAATTAGCTAAAACTGAAATATCCAGAAACGGCATGACACGTGGAACTAGAACAATCGACCCCCGTGCACTAAATAAAGGGATTGATTCAAAATTCCTACTAATATCACCTAAGGAAGGCCGGAGAGTATAACGGGGATATTGAAATAAAGATGAGGACAGTCCGAACAATGTAAATAGTGTAAATTGTTTTTTTTTTTTTTACTCTGTTTTGTTTTTGTTGTTGTTGTTTTTGGGTTTTTTTTTTATTTTTATTTTTTTATGGAGGTGTGGAGGTGCCTAAAGAAGAAATCTTCAGCTGGATCAAATGGAGTAAAATATTTTTTTTTTCTTAATTCTTCACGTTATTTTTTCATGTTTGCTGTTTCATATAATTTGCTTGCTTATCTAAATAATGTTCAGTAGCTAAGAGGATGCTTCAGTAAAAAATCGTAATAATCCCGCCCCCGTCTCCAAGTAAGGCGATAAAGCCACTAAGGTGCAAAAGGTGACTCAGAATGAAAGAAACTGAGAAAACGCTATCGAGGAGAAAGGACAATAAAATGAACAGGATTCAACAAGATAAGATAGCGATTGACACTAAATTTAAATTTGTGCAGATCGTCGTTGACAAGAAGCCGGAAAAAAGAATAAAACTTACGGCTACATCTAGAAATTTAAACATTAAAATAATGAGACCTAACTGCCAATCTAGTACTTCGCGAAGTCGAGGTACAATTTCTTCGAAAATATTTATAGAAAAGGTAGAAAAGAAGCTACATTATGGTGATGGTTAAGTGATTGAAGCTGAGCTGTTTTTATCTTCAGTGAGGTTTTAGTAATTCCACTTTGGCCTGGACGGGGTCTTGAGCATTGTTTGGCCAACTTCCTAGAGATGGTGGCTCGATAAATGTGATTCGGAGCTAGAAGTTTCTATTCGTATTTTCAAAGCAATATAAATTACAATCTATCCCAGGTAATGTTAGATATACATAATGAATATATACAATAATAATTATAACGTAATGAGAAGGTATAAAGATTCCTGGTGGGCGCTCCTTGGAAATAATAATTTAAAAAGAATAATTGCAGACCGTCGGTCAAAGTTAAGAAAAGAAAGAAGAAAGATGAAAAAAGTAATTTACAAATTGAAGACAATAATGTTTAGGATAATGATAATAATGTTACTTATATTGATATTACTAATAACAATGATTATGCTAATTTTAAAGTCACCGATACAGATCTATCTATCTTTCTATCTATCTATCTATCTATCTATCTATCTATCTATCTATCTATCTATCTATCTCAGTGTATTCATATCTATCTATCTATCTATCTATCTATCTATCTATCTCAGTGTATTCATATCTATCTATCTATCTATCTATCTATCTATCTATCTATCACAGTCTGTTCATATCTAAGTCTCTTCGTATCTATCTATCTATCTATCTATCTCAGTGTATTCATATCTATCTATCTATCTATCTATCTATCTATCTATCTCAGTGTATTCATATCTATCTATCTATCTATCTATCTATCACAGTCTGTTCATATCTAAGTCTCTTCATATCTATCTATCTATCTATCTATCTATCTATCTCAGTGTATTCACATCTATCTATCTATCTATCTATCTATCTCAGTGTATTCATATCTATCTATCTATCTATCTATCTATCTATCTATCTGTCTATCTATCTCAGTGTATTCATATCTATCTATCTATCTATCTATCTATCTATCTATCTATCGATCTATCTATCACAGTCTGTTCATATCTAAGTCTCTTCATATCTATCTATCTATCTATCTATCTATCTATCTATCTATCTAAATTTAATTTTGGGGGGAGCATTAGTAACTTCTTTTACAAAAGTATACTGCTGGTAATTTTTTTTCAAAATATATTGTTGGTAGTAATTTTTTTACAAAAATGTACTGCTGGTATTTTTTTTACTATGAAAATGCATCGCTGGTAGATTTACTATATTAATTTGTTTTTATACTTTCATAGTGTTTTGACCCCAGTTTAGTGGGGGGTCACTATTTTCTCTTAGTTGAGGCCATAACATCTGCTACCACCCCAGGTCAGGGTGGACTTGGTAACATTAAGAGGTGTTTCCATGCTACTCAAAACCTACCGATCAGAGGCCTTGATGCCGGATGAAGTTTATCGTCATACCAAGGACACCTATCTATGTCATTTTGTTCATATCTATCTATCTATCTATCTATCTATCTATCTATCTATCTCATTCCACGTTTTCCCTTTCTTTCATTCTTTCTTTCTTTTGCATGTCTCTTTCTATCTATCTCATTCCACGTTTTCTCTTTCTTTCTTTCTTTCTTTCTTTCTTTTGTATGTCTGTTGTTATCTATCTATCTATCTATCTATCTATCTCAGTTTATTTATATCTATGTTATTTTGTTCATTATCTATCTATATGATTTTTTCATATCTATCTCATTTGGTTCATATCTGTTTTCTGTTTATCATTTTGTTCATTATTTATCTCAGTCTATTCATACATATCTAAGTCTGTTTACATCTATCTATCTATCTATCTATCTATCTATCTATCTATCTATCTATCTATCTATCTATCGCAGTCCGTTCATATCTAAGTCTATTCATATTTATCTATCTATTCACACTGTAAGGATACAGAAGGTGCTTATCTCCCTTTGATGGCGAAAAGTCACATGGTTCATGTGACGGCCGCTTAATGACGTCACTCCATACAGTGACGAAAGTGCTGGTGAATTTCCGCTCGTTTACAGCAACCAACACATGAGGTTGCTTTTTTTTAATCTGGGCCAAAGGGCCCAGACTGAAGCAAAATCTACCTCCCCCAGCAGCTCACAAATCCATGGTGCCGTTTACCGTTTTGGAATATATCTTCCCCAGATATAGAATGAAACTCCAGCTTGCAGTCATCAATTTGAGAAAACCCAAGACTCATTGTTTCCCGTTCATGGAATATGTCCTCGCCTAAGACATAGATGAATTCGGTCCATTTGAATCTGGAGTCCGAAAAATGTTTTCACCAGATACAGGAGTATCTCCATATTATATGTAAGACCATTCCTTTTGTTCCTCTTACACTTTGCTTTGCTGTGTAGATATATATGATGTATTGTTTTTCGCATGAGACACGTGTTTATATGTATATATAGTTTAGTGTATGTCTTAGTAGTATAAAAGCCTCTCTGAGACCAAAGCATGTTTGTCATTTCTTCTTCCTTTCATCTATTCCGTTCCGATTGTGAAGTTTATTGTTATTATATCACGGATAAAATAATGTCCATAACAGGGAAAATTAAAATGGGAGAATAAATCTTTCTATCATAGCTTTCTCCCGTTACAATATCTATCTATCTATCTATCTATCTCTCTCTCTCTCTCTCTCTCTATATATATATATATATATATATATATATATATATATATATACGTCTATTGAATTATCTTTTCCAAACGTGCATTCGAAATGAAGGCCGTGTCCAAGATCC